CTCTCTCTCTCTCTCTCGCGCGTGCGCGCGCGCGCGCACTTATAAGGTATTCGATAAAGATCGTAACAATACGTAAGGATAAATTCCCAAGATCATTCTGAGACGAAAATACTAATACTAAAATGTCGAGACTATAATTATTTTTTAATTATAAGCATTTAAAGTTAGCGAATCATATCGCCTAAAGTTGGCACGTTTAGATGTGGTTGACATTTTGTATCGACACTTATCTACCGTATGTTCGTGTGAATTTTAGATGATATAATTCGCAAACTTCAAATGCTTATAATTCAAAGACTTTTATAGCCTCGATTTCTGATACTAAGCATTTTCGTTTCAAAATAATCTAATTTACTTTTCGGAAATCTATCCTTAAATATGTAAATACTGTACGGTCTTTATCCTGTGTATGTACACACACATACATATATGCAGAGAAATTCTCCAGGCATTTGCTTCCACTTCTTATTAATAATATAAAATGCAAAAATAATAGGGAATTTTTGCAATATCATGTGTCCATACGATGAACAAAGTTACATTATTTCGTGGAAAATCAAAATACACGGTACTGCAAAAACTCTCTACAACATCAAAATATCTGATGAACAATTAAGCATTTTAAATATTTTTATGTGTTTTTTTTCTCGGTTGTATTTGGATTAACTGTGAATATCTGTGAAAATTTATAAAATTAAATTTTACTATAGAGAATATGAATAAGTACAAATAAATATTTTACGATCCAAGAAAGACAGCAAAGATAATATAAAAAATTTACGTTATTGAACATATGAAAAGTCTTAGTAATACAAATCTTTTTTCTTTTATTAACTTACCTGTTAGGACATGTTTATTTGTCAGAATGGTTCCAGCGCATTGAAACTCATATTGATTTGTAACGACGAAAAGTGCCACTAACCACGGCCATTCGCCAGGCAATGTTTCCTGTCCATTAGAGATCAAAAGATTTGCATTTCCAGAGCGGCTGCTGATGCCACATTCATTATTATTGTTGATATTATTATTATTATTGTTGATATTATTATTGTTGTTGTTGTTGTTGTTGTTGTTGTTGTTGTTGTTATTATTGTTGTTGTTGTTGTGTTGCGGGACTGGTTTGGCTGGAGACTGGTTTGATTTAGGTGACTGGTTTGGCTGAGGTCTAGAGGACTGATTTGGCCGCAGGAATATATTATTATTGTTGTCATTATTATTACTGTGTTGTGGAATTCTAAAAGACGGCCTTAGAAATACATTATTATTATTATTGAAATCATATTGTGAGGCTGCTTGAGCTGAGGTCGGTTTCCTCAGGAATACGTTGTTATTATTATATTGTGAAACTTGTTCGGATTGGTTTGGGAGTATATTTAGCAATATGTTGCTATTATCTTGAGAGAAAGCGACGGTGGCTCTCCTCGGAATACTCTGTTGACGTTCCGATTTTGGTGTCGAGTTCTGATGCGATTCATTCGGTTGTGAATTTGGCGAAGGCATATTTGGAATATACAGAGTATGTTCCAATGTGATAGTAGTAATAGTAGTAGTTACAACATCTCCTGTTGCTGAAACAAAATATGATATTCAAACCTCGCGTCTTTTTAGAGTGAGATCTTTGAATTCAGGTCTAGAGGACTCTCTTTGCCGCCTTAATAAATATAAGATAAAATGAACATTAATTTGTGACTCGAAAAAATGGTTATCTATGAAGTCTACTCCTATTTTCTCGAACATACATGGTATTTACATATATTGTATTTCAAGTAAATACGGTACTCACCATCGGGACTCGTACAATATTTTTTACCATTGAACCATATCGCGGTCAATGTTGGAAGTGGTTGGCGTAAAGGGAAATAAATATGATATAATAAACTCCTGCCCTGTAAAACAGCTTGAGCAGAGTCTTCGGTCGATTGTGCTAATTTTAGTCGACCATAATTTTTCTAAAACACATTGATGATTAATTTATTTTCTAGAAATGAACTTTTTATAAACTTTTTTCATATAATTATATTTTGGTCATTTTTAAATGTATTTTCATTCTTAAATCAAACAAAACTTGTATTTTTAAGACACTACTTGCAGAAACGTTACGACTTTAAGCTAAATTTTGTTTCAGAAATACTTTAGAGAAATCATTGTTAACCATTGTTGAACCACAACTTGCATGATATTATTAGAAATTGTCTGCATTAACAGTCGTAAATTAGATGTAAGAAAAAAGGATACATACCGTAGGTAACTCAGCAGTGAGTTTTAAACCCACTTTCAAATGAAGTTCGCTAACTTTTGGCGGAGACTGGATTTCAATCTGTCCTATCGTTTCGTCTGTTCCCGGTTTGATTATATATCTGAAATATTGAGGACATGGAGATTGCTGTCCTTGTACTAGCGTAAAAAGCAGCTGCGGCAATAATGCGATCAAGATATACAGCTTAGCCATCTTGTGAGGATCTGTTAACAAACTTAATAAAATACATAGTTTATAAATATAATTCACTTTTAATATTCTTTAATATTTTATTTAATGATTTAGTGATTTTCAAACAACTGTTATCATTAGCTATGTGCATTCTTTCTATAAAAAAAATTTTTTAACATCTCAAAGATATTTAAATCAGTAATTTTATTTAAAGAAAATTTAGAAATACGAAAAGTTCATCACGCAAATGCAATTATATTTACATAATTAATATGCATACATCTATTCGTTATATATCAAGTTTTAATATATCGATAAGATTAAAGAATAGGATTTCAATCGTATAGTATAATGTGAAATGATTTATTACTATTTATCATAAGCGAACCAGGAAAGTTGATAGAATAAGCAGATAAATGTGAATACGTTTTAAGCAGAATGTCATGAATACGATAAACTCAGCATCCAAACATAACGTAATACTATGTGTCCATTAACCTGAGAATCTGGTTTTTACACACTAGCAGAAAGAAAATAAAGCTAATCATAGTTTTCTTTACTGAGCGCATTTCCACTTATTTTACATTTTCTTATTTTTTTAGAAAATATTAAATAAATCTATATAATGATCTTATATTTTAATAAATTGTAGAACAATTAATAATGTAAATACAAGCTATAATTATATAATAAGAATAATTTTTAATTAAGGTGTGAAAAACACCCCATATGATAATTTACGTAAAAAAATTAAGTGACTGTTTCCAGATTAGGTATTTAAACAAGACATTTCAGTCATATATAGTTTCTTAATTTTTACTTAAAACTAAAAATTTTCTTTTATTCAAAATTTACGAATATTTTTTACGTTATATTTTTTCATAATTTTTTAAGTGCTATAATATTAAGTAATTAATTAAATAATTTAATTTGGAACGCTGTTGATTATAATCTAATTTTTAATTGATTATGTTCTAGTTTTTTCGAATCTATTTAAAGTATTATATATCTTTAATCGTGCGATTTTGAAATTCTTTAATGCCAACATTATTTTGCTTTATACTACAATAATTTCATTAACGCAAAATTATGTTCTTAATAATACAGATTAAATTGGATTAAAGAATTGATATGTGCACTAAACGTATCTATTACTGAACACTGTATTTATTCTCTGCTTGATAACCCTTGAAAGATCAAACATTTCACATATGTCAATACGTCATAAGATCAGCAAAACACAATTTTGCTTTTTTTATAACTTTACTTGCCTTTCGATTGGTATATTTCTATTTAACAATGATTGTGGTATTTCAGATCAATCTACATTTATAAGAACGATTATAGTCTAAATATTAATTTTTTACAAGAATTGAACAATTAAAGTTCAATAATCTTGTTAAACAATCAGCTTCAAACAAAAAGAAGTCTTAACAATAAACAAGAATACCAAAGAAAGAAAGAATAGAAAGATTCCAAGAATAAATCGAAATAAAATGAAGGAAAAATAAGCCAACGTAGATATGCAGTAATAACAATTAATATATAGTTATCTACTACATTATTACTACTCGTAGTAAATTAACATAAAACGCATAGGTTTCAACCGCAATTTTAGATCCTCTTCAATGCATATTACACATAAATCATATTTGAACAGTAGCAATCTTATATTAAGTTAAATAAAACTACAATAACAGTGTTATATTAAAATATTGAAATATAAAACAATAGTAACAAAATAAATAAAGCCGGAATTACATGCCTATGTCAAATGAGTAATAGCTTAAGTATATGAGTAATGGATTAATATTGTTATTACTGTGCATCGACATCCGTGTTGGCTCTTATTAGCTTCTTTCCTTCATTTATATTTAAAAAAACATTTTTAACACAAAACTATTCAAGAAAGCAAATTTATTATGCAAATTATATTGAGATATGAAATAATGAATACTTAAATTTCATATTATAGTAAACAAAAAGTTTGAAATATTAATGATGAAGATATGGCATATAGATTCGATAGCAGATATATTATGCGATATATATGTCCAATCAAAGAGATAATAAAAGTAATAATTTTAAACGCAACTCACTTTTTTAATAATTTGGCAACGTTTCTGGACAACACTCTTGACTTCGTTGAAAAGATACAGAAACGTATCTCTGGATAATAAACAGATAATTTAATTACGTTTAAAAGATTGTTTTCGTTAAATATGCTTAATTTACATTTTATAGTTACGTTTCTAAGCAATTACACTTATAAGGAAAACGATTCCAGAAGGCAAGTAAACATCTAAGCGAATCAAAGTATCTTAAGTATTCTATGAGCACATATTTAGCTTGCACTTTGAACAGTCGACAAACCGACAGTATCGGATCACGTATAATCACTTCATTAAACGGATTTCAAATTCTGACGGAGAATAAACGTGACTCACGTGTACAATTGGATGTCCACCTTTACTTTACTCTAATTTGTTATATTTCTTTAATATCAATATCAATTATTTTTTGTGTTTTTATTAAATCACTATACTGCATTTTTTCTATTGACTTCTAGAATATGTTTTAAGCGTGTTGAGTTATACTTTTTTAGTATCTTCTAGTTCACATATTCTTATTTACTTATTTATTATTCAATATTTTTTTCCGAGGCACTCTTTCAAGGCGAACTACTAGCGAACTACTCCGAAGCACTTCTCAATGGTTCAAAATCCTTAGCAGAATCCAACACACTGCGATGACCGGATGTTCAGCGTGCTAATCCTTGGAGCTACGCTCTCACGGCCTCGTTGAACCTTCGCGAGACTGACCAGTTCTTTACCGAAACACACACGTTTACAGTTTTTCTCGCCGCAGAAGCGTTCTGATCGCGCAGTAGTGGGGCACCGCAAGTCGAAGTGACCATGAGTCAGGTCGTATCATTCACTTATCTGAGGCAGAACTTGTCTTAGACTGACGAACGAGGAAAATAGGAGATAAGTGTAGCGTGCCTGGAGCACCCTCTCTTCCTGGACGATATCGCGCAAGAAGGAAGACTGGGGAATCCTCGTACGCACGTCCGATGAGTCACAGCTCGTCGTGTTGCCTCGCCGTCAGCGTAACTCAAAGCGAATCCGATGACCTATTGGTGTATTTTTTCAATGACGCGAGTATCCTTCCAATTATGCAAGCGCGTGTTCGAAAAATCATGCAATAATTCTTCTTTATTTTTCTTCATTTTCTCCTATTTCTTCTTATTTTTATTTTGCTCTTCTCTTATACTTGCATCCACAATGTAGTTTCATCATCTGTGATCAATCAAACGATTAAAGTTTTCATATTCCTTTCAAATTAGGTGTGTCAGAGACGTCAGACAAAGTAAACGTCAACAAAGTAAGGTTTTATTCAGTATTTCCTTTAAAGATTCCACTACATTCTCGATTTTTTATTTGTACGCGTTTATTGCCTTTGAAAAAATTAAGAAAGAATTAGCAAAAAAAGAGGTGTAGTCATCATTACAGAAATATCTTTTATTATGCGATAAAGATAGGAAAGAGTAAATTATCAAAATTCAATTCATCATGTATACGTTCATTTAGGATATACAATATGCAGAATACTTTATTCATACTGGATCAACTTTTAATAGAAGACTTTTAATAAATTTGAAATTGATTCTTGTTTAACGAATTTGTTAAAAATAAATTACTATTTTTTTACTTTTCCCAGAAAATTTCTATTTAATATTTTAATTATTAGAGAGGTAAAATTTAATATTTTAATTATTAGAGAGGTATCAATTTCAAAACATAATTAGCTCTATTTTAAATATAATATCAAAAAAATAAAACAAGAATAAATTGTTAATCCTTTAAATTCTTCGCTATTTCCGGTTGCAAAAGTAGAAATAGATAAGCTCGTGATTATACTTCCGGCATGGACGGAAAAGAAGGCAATGCAAGTTGGACTATGAAGGAAAAAAATGTATATCTTGCAATTAAATTATTTTTCGTTACGTTTCGACAAAAATATATATATACATGTACTTAATGTTTGAGGAAACTCTATAATGCAAAAATGTAAATTATAATAATGTTATTAATTAACGTTATTAATATTATATATTAATTGTACACGACATTTTAAATAACATTTTTAACAATTTTAAAGCACGCTAGTTTATTTCTTCTAATAATGAACAATTTTTATTTTTTAAATGTTACTCAATATTTTTTTAAATGGTTCCATAAACATATAAAAGAATTGATCGGAAAGATCTTTATTTTCGTTTCCTTGAAAGGAAATTACATAAAGTATGATTTATATTAAATAGGTTATATAATAATAATACATCTGCAACTTGCTCATCAGGTTATTTATATACGTCATGTTGATTTAGCTCCAAATTACGTCTGTTTACTTGTTTAAATATAAAAATACAATGTGAGATAGAGATAAGATATAAGATATTTCGAATAGCCTAATAATAAATGTACAACAGAAATTGTATAGTAAGTTCATCCATTTGCATAAACTATATCAAATTTTTAATTAAAAAAGTGTTTGAAAAAGTATTGAATTTGCATTCTTGCAAGAGAAAAATTAATATGAGAAATATTAATCAATAATGTTTAATTATTACATTGACCTTGATGTTAAAACAAAATATTTTTTTTCATACAAATGTCTAGACAAAACACTTTGTTTATTTAAATTTCGAACACACAAAGAGATAGAAATTTAAAAGAATCAATTTATTATATTTTTTTTCTCATAACTTATATTATACGTTGTATATTTTTTAAAATACAGACTATTTAATTCATTAATCTGTTTTATTTGAACTTTAATATTTTAATATTTAATCTTTCAATTTAGCGTTATGAGATGACAATGATATTGTTACGTCCAAGCTCCGCACGCATGGAGCTGGGAAAATAAACGCAACAGAAACCTAATAAATCTACCATTTTCTTCGCGTTCAAGCTTCGGACCGCAGGGGAGCTAGGGGAAGGACCGATTTAAACGAGAGGCACTTTGCTTCGTCCTGAAGCTCTCGGGGAGCCGAGGGTCTAAAGAGGGATGAAGTGAAAGCCTCCTCGAAGTCAACGCCCCTTTCAACGCTGAGCGGGGTCACAAAGCGAACGCACACACTAAAGGCTCAAATTGAATCAGTGTGTCGTAAGGGCACACTTTTACGCCAGATGTGTCAGTAGTGACGCATATTTGGCCTGCGGAACCACAGAAAACCCGCCCCACCATTTCTATCCCCACCAAGCAGACACCTACTGGCATCAAGTTGGCCGACTTTGCTGTTGCGCGAGAGCGAGCGAGACAGCGAGAGAGAGAGAG